ACATGAATATATCAGTTTATATGCTGATGATACATGAATATATCAGTGTATATGCTGACGATACATGAATATATCAGTTCATATGCTGATGATACATGAATATATCCGTTTATATGCCGATGATACACACATGAATATATCAGCTGATGCGTCATCCCCCCACTCCACCGGACATAAATTACGGACAAGATGAGTGCCCCGCCATGGCAAGTTATCTAGGGAAAACACTGACAGGTAAAAAAAAAATTTGCGGAAGCTAAACTGCTAACCGCTTAGATGACTGTCAGTCTGCGTCACGTCTTCGTCTCCTTCCATTTGAAGTTGCATCAACCAATCACATCTTGTCACGTGTACATGTATAAGCCCCAATAGCAAGCCCAACAGACTTTTCGAAACACGCCCACAACAAACAGGAACAAGCTTGTGAATATTTTTAGTGGACATAAAGCTGGTAAAATCTAATTTAGCTGAAGCTAATTCTGCTAACGGTCTCCAAAGTTAGTGAAAATGCTAATCTGAACCATCCAGCCTATTTTCTGCCATAGTTCAAAACCCTGCCTCTCTGATTGTATGGGGATACATTACTGCTACTACTATGAGAAGCTTTCACATCTGGAAAGGCACTATTAATGCAGAACAGTTAACATAAGTTTTCAATCAAAATCAAATCTAGAATCCTTCAACAGACAAGATGGGACAAGATTTTGTGTGCATGGCTTCCGATTCTTGGCCATGCACATTATCTGCAAGAGGACCTCAGCTTGTTCTTTACCCACATTTATGACTTAATCTGCAGGAGTACAAGTCTGGATTAAAGACAAGCAGATCTGGACCAACCAACGAACCACCAACCAATCATCCAATAAATGAACCAACCAACCAACCAACCAATGAACCAACCAATGAACAAACCAACAAACAAACCAACAAACAAACCAACCAACCAACCAACCAACCAATGAACAAACCAACGAACAAACCAACGAACAAACCAACGAACAAACCAACAAACGAACCAACGAATGAACCAACAAACCAACGAACCAACCAACAAATCAACCAACCAAGGAATGAACCAACCAACAAACAAACGAACCAAACAAACAACCAACAAACCAATGAATGAACCAATGAATAAACCAACCAACCAACTAACGAACCAAAGAACCAACCAAAGAACCAACAAATCAACCAACCAACCAATGAATGAACCAATGAACAAACCAACAAACAAACCAACAAATGAACCAACCAACCACCTAACCACCCAAAGAACCAACCAAAGAACCAACCAACCAATGAATGAACCAATGAACAAACCAACAAATTAAACAACCAACCAACTAACTAACCAACCAAAGAACCAACTAAACAACCAATGAATGAACCAACAAATGAACCAACAAACAAACCAACCAACCAATGAACCAACAAACAAACCAACCAACCAATGAACAAACCAATCACCCAACCAACGAATGAACCAACGAACGAACCAATGAACCAACCAACCATCATTATCTTTATCCGCTTCTTCCTTTTCGGGTCACGGGGGTCACTGGTGCCCTATTTTTCTAATTATTACTATTTATAATTTGTGTTTGTCTTTTCAGGAGATTTGCCACAGATATTCTTTTTGTCAACGCAGAGCTCCTGTGTAGAAGACAAAACACAGATAAAGTGATTTTAAGATAATCGGGAGACGCCTGGGACAATATTCAGATAGTTTTGAGACGATTTAGAAACACCTATAACGATTTTGTGACTATCTTTAGAGATAAGCTATCACATTTTATTTTATGTGTTCAAAATTCCTGCAACACGAGTGAGACTCTGACTCATGCGAGGAAACTGAGAATCCAAACAGTTGGAAAATGTTTCAAGACATTTTGGGGACTCTCTTGAGAATTCCCCTTTTGCAATTAGTCGTAGGCTTTGAGAAAGACCATCAGTAAAATGCGTTGATGTTGTGAGATGTGTGATTAAAACAGACGATAAAAAAGAAAAAAAAAGCTTTTACCGATCATGTGCTCTTGACACGTTGATCCTGGGATGTGTCCCTCCTCGTTTTCACCTTTCAGACTGATCTTCTGTGTCATGATGAGTGTCTGAAATGCAAACAATATGAACAACGCATCAATTTCAAAAGCCTTTGTGAGCTCAAATAATCCTGTACATTTTTTTTACCTTTTCAAATAAATACGCATCTTAAGTTTAGCTTGGGGAGAAGTCCGGCAATTATATTTTCAGCTGTTGCTCTAATTAGACTATTTAGAAGTTGTGGGTCATAAAAAGTGGCTCTTTTGTTCCATTTCTGAAGACGGGGCGCTTTGAGGACGGTATTAAATGGCCTTTTTGTCAAACAGAGTGCCTGCGATAAAGAGCTCCTCTGCGTTATCAAAACTCCTCATCATCAGGATTAAATTTCTTTCATTATGCTCTCAGACTGTCACTCTCCTCCTTGGCTCCAACTGATCTTTTTACTTTCTTTCATTACTGCTGCCTCGCTCTTTTTTTTTTTTTTTTTTTGGAGACAGACTCACTGACAGATAATAAAGAATAAGGTCAAAGCTTTAGCATTTTTGCTTACAAAGGCCAATCAAAGAGCTGACAGTAGCTGAAGTATCGTCCGCCGTCAAAAGCAAGTGAGCGATATTGTTCGTCTGTGTGCATTTGTTATGTCTCGTCTGTTAGCAAAATATCTTGCGAGCCGCTGTATGATTTTTAATGAAACTCTCACAAAGTCATCACTAGGTGTAAGTCTATAACTGATTACCTTTTGGAGGCAACCCCGTTCAAGATGGTCGCCACAGTCAACTGGCCTTAATAAACACAAAAGCAGCTAAAACACAGCCTGCTTCATATATTTTTAGATAAAATGTAGCTTTGGTAGTAGCTGAGCATTAATCCCAACACCTCCACTGAGCTGAACACATTGAACAAGATTTTTTTTGCCTGACACTTTAGCAAAAAACTGTTGGCGTCAGCCGTGTTTGTCTGTTAGCAAAATATCTCAAGAACCAGTGGGTAGATGGGAATCAAACTCCCAGAGTATAATAAATGGATGTATCGCAACAACTGTTTAACTTTTGGCGTTAATCTAATTCAAGATGGCCACCACAGCTAGTGGAACTTATATTTTACAAAAGTGGCAATACCTTGGTCAAGTTTACAGAAATTGAGCTGAAATTTGGTGTGGTAGTAGCTGAGAGTCATTCCCAACAGGTGCTGTGAGCACAAGCATATATTGCAGGTTCTCGCTATCTCCCATGAGATGGAGCCTACAAGGTTTGAGCAAAACAGCCACATCTATTGGCATCATACGACTATCTTAGATTATAGCTGGCGTGAAAGGTGGCGGGTGATATGCATTCCTTCAAGGAATGCTATGTCTTTAATTTCCGATGTAGTGTGGATATTTATGACTAAGCTGTAGCTTGAAAACCTTGCGGAACACAACGTCAGCATGCGTTAGAGCAGTGGTTCCCAACCGTGGTCCTTGCGGAACACCATACTGCATGTTTTAGTTGTTTCCCTGCTTTGACACACAGGATTTGAATAAATGGGTGATTAACAGGCTTCTGCAGAACTTGGAAGTAATTAAATCACTGAATCAGGCACGATGGAGTGGGGAGACATCTAAACCATGCGGGGTAGTGTTCCTTGAGGACCAGAGCTAGGAAAAATAAATAAATAAATAAACACGATTTTACTGTAGGCTGAGTCAGAACACAATCAATAGTGAGCCTTCTGGGGATGTGATGCTGAAGAGGCGGATGTGTTTGTGAACACGAGTGTGAAAGCCAGTGGGAATTCGCCCACAACGGAGTCGACAAAGTTGCTCACTCACAGCGGTGTCCGCACAGATCTGCGTATCGCCCTTCAGCTCGCCGTGCTTCTTGGGCGTGGAGACGGCGGGCGGCGACGCGGCCACGGAGCCGACCTTCCCGGCGGTCCTGAGGAGAAATAAAATTGATTGACCTGCTCTTTTGCGCCACAAAACACAGAAACGCTGTTTCATGTTGAACGGCATCTAAACAGGCTCGTCTTTGTGCGGAGAAGAAAAACCCGCCGGCTGGGAGTCCAAGTGGAAAATCAATGAAGTGAGAAGTAAGACACGTTGAGCTTTTCTTAGCACGAGCGTACTTCGCTCTGAGTCTGCCGACTGCTGGTTCAAGAGCTGTTTACGCTCACCAGAGCAGACTCAAACCGACAGCCGGTGTTCAAGAGTGATTTAGTGGCGGCTCATGTTTAATTTAAGAGATTTATTTTAAGGTGTCAATCCCCCTGACAGAAAGACAGCTCTGAGAAGTGACAGGAAGTAATCAGCACAGTATCTTATTAATTAAAGATAATGTATGCCTAATTTTCTCAATGACAAAGACGCTGCTTTACCCACCTGCCAAGAAGGTCCTTGACAAACTGGTCTTTGCCGATTAATGCTGTGGTGCACTGGATCTGACTGGCGATCTGACCCATCTGGTTGTTGCAGTGGTCCATGATGGAGCTCAGCTTATTGTTCATCTCACACAGATTTGGCACGTCCTGACTTTCTTTCTTCTTCTCCTTCTTCTTGTCAGACTTCATCTGTTTGCCTCCGAGCACCGAGCCAATCTTCAGCTCTTTCTTCTCCTCTTTTCCCTTCGGGGCGTCTGCCTTTTTGCCGTTCAATGCTGGAAGTTTGCTCCTGCGGAGGCCGAACCAGTTGGCCAAAGAGGGCCCGGTCTTTTGTTTGGCCTCGCTGGCAGCCACCTTCTCTTGTTCTTGACATTTCTGCAAGTTCTCCTCGATGCCCATCATGACTTTCTCTTCGATGGTGCACGCCGCAGGGCTGGTTTTCTTCTCCTCTGTGTCCGCGGGTTTGTTCGGGGACTCCGTCTTGGTTTTTACTTGCTCGTTAGGGGTGATTGCTATACCGTCAATCTCTTTCGAAGGGTTTTCCCAGTTATACAGAGAAGCAGATGGAGGCTGGAACTGCGGATGAGAGGCTACTTTTGATGGTTTTCGGATATTGTTGAAAATATTCCTTTCGCTTATGGGTAAACTCTTCACCTCTTTATGACAAGGTGAAGTGGCACCCTCCCCTTTCACTCCACCTAGCAACCCGTCACCTGTAGAGCCAGATTTAGGGGTTTTCTCTGGGAGGATATTGTGACTATTTGACCCCGTCATCCCCCCATAGTGACTAAGCCTCATCCTGGGGGAGTGGATAGGACTCTCAGTTACCCCAACAATGGGTACCTCTAAAGAACTTTGTCTTGTCAGAGAATTACCCCTTTCGCTTGAGTTGGTGATGATTTGCGTTCTGATTTTTCCCGGACCTTCTAGTGCATTCACACTGGGTTTCTCAATGTAGTTGGTGCTGAAGCTCTGGCTACGAGCTTTGGCGCCGTTCATCCCCAAAGCTGGCTTTAGATGGGTTTTTGTGTTAACAGATATGGACCTACCAAAATGTTGACTAATCCTTTTCCCCTTATTACAAACGTCCCCCTCCTCTGACAATACAGCATTATGTACATCCTCCTCCTGTAGGGGACACTGAACCTCACCTTTCCCCTCTGTGGGAGACATCTTGGGTGGTAAATCGATAGTATATGCAGCTTGCAAGCTGTCGCACTGGGTCGAAGCATTAGAAGTCGCTGTTATTTTGGAGGCAGAGTTGATATGATCTTTCTCTTGTTTGCCTGGTACAGTGGGACTGCTTATATTGGTAGGAGGGGATTTCAAAAAGGCTTTAAATCCCATTGGGATTCGAGTCTTTGAGGCTTTTTCCGCTTGGTTAGGCGACATAACAGCTGAGCTGGGAGGGCTGACAATAGCTTTGCTGTTCTGCTGCTCTGTCTGACATTGAGGGGAGTCTTGAAGGGATATAGGTAAACTAATAGAGGTCTTTTGCACCGACTGATGGACATTTTCATGAGCAGGTGCTTTTTTACTTGCAAATGAAGTCTGAAGTGAAGTCCCTCTGAGTGCACCATAGGGAGGAGGAACATTCTTTGAGCTTCTAGGTGCATTTTCGGGTTCTTGAGCACACCCTGAGTTTGCAGAAGGGAGGTAGTCTTTCGTACGTTTGGAAGTGCCTTTAGTAGGTGTCTGAGTCACAAGGGACTTTTGAAGGAGATGACTGGTTTTCTCGACCAGCTTCTGAGGTGCAAGTGCAGTTCCATAGCCTGCGTCCAGGTCTGAACAGTCTTTATCTTTGATGGGTAAAGTGGTTTGCATATTTGGTGCGAGGGAAGTGTGGTAACTTGGGGGAGGGCCCCTCCCAGTGGTTGATGTGGATGGTTGAGCCATCCCTATTTTATGTGCTTGAGGCGAGCCTTCGTAATTTGGTCTGATGAGTAAAGAGGTGGTGCGGCCCGGGGGAGGGGGAGGAGAGGGAGACCTGAGTTTGTTTTTGCCAGTTTCACAGTGTTTGTCTCTGGTTGGTTGCTCACTAGTGTCTGCGTACTCCAGATGCCTTCTCGGAAGTTGGGGGGAACTGGAAGAGGGACCCTTGCTCCATTCAGCCCTGTTGGTGAGCTTGGAGTTTATAACCTTTGGGCTCTGTGAACAACTTCCCTGTGTCTTTATAAATCTGGAGATTTTTACTGTTGGAGAACAGGGGGATTTCTCCTCAGCTGAGTGTCCTGAGTTCCCATTATTACTTGGCTCCGTTGTTTTAGACGGTCTCAGTGGTGATGCTGATGGTTTGTTGCGACCAGGAATTTTTGAACCACTGGACTTAGAATCACTCATCGCGGGGATGGAGTGGACTTTATTCGCCCGGGTGCTTGGTGGTTTAATTAATTTCCTCTGAGGAGTTAGCTCCATTGACAGCCTATCTGCACTTCCCTCCCTGCTATTGCTGACTTTGCTAGTCTCACATTCTGATGGCTTTTCTGGAGCTACAAGAACAGTATAGTTCCTTGCGTTTACAGGTTTTTGCCTTGTTGGACTCTCTTGGGGTACAAGCTCTGCATAATTAGGAACTACATTGCTGCTTTGTACATCATCTGTACTTGCTACAAGCTTCTGGGGGCAAAGTTCAATAGGTTCTCCTGCTGCATCAAATATTGCTAATATGCTCTCCTCAGACTGGGTGCACTTTGTTTCTTTTGGCTCCTTCAGCAGGCTGAAAGGTGTTGGCCGTCCATCAGCAGACTGGGTGCGTCCCTGATCTCGCCGTAAGTATTTTTGTTTGAGGAGCTTGGCGGCGTCCCTGGACAGTCTCCTGAAGTCCATCTCAGCTTGCTCTGGCGGCTGAGATGTTCGGACATCGCTGCACTCAGAGTTGAGTTCTGAGACATCGATGTCAGAGAGGCGTTTTGGTCCGTCTGGGTCAGAGGGTAAGTGAAGCTTGGATGGTTTACTAAAAGCTGATTTATGGACCCTTTCAGGTAGAAAACTGTTAATGTAGCTCATGAGCTTCTCTGGATGCTCTTTTGAGTCAGAAAAACAGAGTTTCTCAGCCACGGTACTTGAGGTACCATCACCACCAGCCCCACTTTCCTGTGTCCCCTCCCAGCTACACAAACTGTCCGAGATGCTGTGGGAGAGCTTCTTACAGTGAAACCAACAGTCCTTGGTAGGGATGTTATCTCTGCAGCTGGATTGTGCCAATTCATCATCAGCATCATCTGAATCGTAAAAAAACTGCTTGCAACGAGCAGCCGAAGTTCTGACAACATGGGTTGGCTTAGAAACCCCTTTACTGCTACTCTTGATACCCAGAGAGTAGATGCCCTCGTTGGAGTTCATGCATTCTTTGTTGCCCGACCTGGAGACCTTAGATGAACTGGAAGAGGTTCTGTGTTTTCTCCTTTGGAGTTTCCTCAGTCCTTCCAGTATGTGGCTCTCTTTGCATCTTGTGGGTGGCTGCTCCTCTGGAGGTGCGCAGATGTTACTGGGAGCCGACGAACCCAAACTCAGCCTCTTCTCCCAGGTCAGAGAGGACTTCAGGGCAAGAACAACAGAGGTTAAAAACTGGTTATTGTTTTGGCTTGGGACTTTAGAGCAAACAAGTCAAATTTCAAGTCGTATAACTCAGATTTTTAATGTTTTCATTGTTGGATCTCAAAAGCACCATTTGAAGTCATGGTCATCAATCTCTAACAGAAAGATAAGGGATTAATTAGGGCCTCAAAAGAACAGGAAACTTGTGATGAGCTGCCATTTGTCTGTTTTTGCGGAACTGATATGTGTGGGGTTTGTTTTTTGTTTTTTTTAGAGTGAAAGGCTTTACCATTTTCCCGCAGGAGCGTCCATCATTCCAGGTGTACGAGCCACTGGAGAATTCACTGCATGCACTTGACAGAGACAGCTCACTACTGCTGCAGCTGCTGCGTGGGTAGACGGGCGCCGGTACTGTCAGATTCAGCTGGCTCAGACACTTTGACACAGGGAGACCCGCCTTTCCATTGGCCTGAACTTCCTGTGAGGAAAATAGACTTAATAATAGAGTAACTAACATGCTAGATGTTGCATTCATCTGTTCATTCAACCTTTATTTGTACAGGTTAATCTCACTGAGTCACAAGGACTCATTTTCAAGAGACCTGTTTTAAACAAAAAAGCTATAGATGAGGTACACACAACAATAAACAGTGATAAAAAGCATATAAAATGAAAAGTTAATAAAAGTAGTGATATAAAACAAAATAAAAACAAGGTACATTATAAACCGGGAAGAAGGAACATGTCTGCATTGATTTTTGCATTGAATTTGTTTAAAATCCCTTAGAGAGAACAACGACATCTTCAGATCTTTTTGCAAGGTTTTCCAGGATACAGGAGTGGAGTAAGAGAAGGCCCTTTTGCCGAATTCAGTCTGCACTGAGTGGACGCTGCAGGTAATGATGTCGAGAGTGCACGCTGTAGCTGCACTGACGACGTGATACGTAGGAGGACGTATAAGAAGGCATCAGAACAAGGAATAATTTAAAGATGAAAATGTACCAGTGTGAGAGTCTGCGTGAAGTAAATTATTATTTTTTTGCACTTACCCTTTATTTATCCAGGTAGTCTCATTGAGCCACGAGAACTCATTTTCAAGAGAGACCTGTTTAGAGAGCAGATGGTGGGGGTTAAGGGCCTTGCTCAGGGGTCCAGAGTGGGGCGAATGAGGGTGGAGGGAGGTGTGTGTGTTTCACCTTTTCCACCCACATTTTGATGTTGATTGTACCGGGAGGTGAACCTGCGACTTTCCGATCACAAGCCCATCTTCTAACCTCTGCGCCACCACTCCCCTGATGACCATTTAACCAGTGAATACAGGGTGCAGTGATGGGTACGGTAGTTACAGCCAGTTATGAATCTTAGCACATCGTGATAGACAGTGTCCAACATCTGCAAGGTGCAGGAGCACTCATGTAAATAATGTCACCATAATCAATGGCCTGATGGAAAGCAGCAGTTACAAGGCGTTTCCTAGCGTTCAGAGTTAAACAAGATCTATTTCTGAAAAAGAAACCCAGTTTTAATTTCAGTTTCTTTATCAAGTTTTCAACATGAGGCTTTAAAAAAGAGATGTATATGGACCAAAATCCCCAAGAATTTGTAAAAATTGACAACCTCAATAGGAACACCATTCATAGATAAGATAAAAGGAAGGACTGCTGGTACCGACTTCCTGTTTGAAAACAACATCTCTTTGATTTTATCAGCATTTAGCACCAGTTTGAGACGGAACAAATGTGACTAGATGATGTCGAATGCAGACTGTAATAGCTGGAAAACCTTAGCAACTGATTTAGCTCGACAATACACAACTGTATCGTTGGTATAGAAATGTTAAGGATGAATCAGGACTACATTATGTATGTATATTGAAAAAAAGTGGGTCCTAAGACTAAGCTTTGTGGTACACCACTTTTGACAGTTAAATAACTAGAAGTACCACTGTGTTGAACACACTGTCTCCGATCTGAGAGATAATTAGAAAACCAATAAGCTTTGACTTTATAATTCAAATCTTGCTCTTTGTTTTGCATTGAAACTACAACATTGTTTGGTTTTGTTTTTGGAGTTTCATATTCATATTGATGGCATTCCCATGAACCACCATGTCCAACACTCTATCCTATCTGTGTTCCAGTAGCACACATTAGTTTATCAAATGGCATTCTCAGAGGGGTAAAAGAGTAAAAGAGTGGAGAAAACTCATCTTCAAGACTTAATGCATAATACATAAGAGGACTAATGTTCCATAGAGTCTTGGAGAGTCATTTTTACTGCCCACAAGTCCGAATCGATGGGTTTCTGGTAATATGACAAGGATTTATTCCTCTTAGCGCCAAGTGATATCACTAGATTTTCTTTTTGGTGAGTGCAGGATTTTTTGCCTGTATTTTAATATGTTGCAGTGATTTAAAAAAAAAAAAAGGTGGTACAGAATGAGACAGAGAGATGCATTGCCCTCGGTGTGTTTCTCGTTATGCTTACGTTAGAGGGTGAGTTCGTGCTCCTGGAGAGCAGGAAAGCCTTGCTCCTCTCCTGCTCCAGAAGCAGATCAGCCGCAGACAGATCCATGATCCGAGAGTGGAGTTTCTGAAAGTCAAAAGGGAAGGACATGCTACAGTGATTCTTTTGGCTTCGGGGAGCTCAAGAGATTGGAGTAAGCCATCCACTGTAAGATCTGAGATACGGCAGATTGGTACAAGGTTTTTTTTTTTATTGATTGTCCTGTTTTCTCCAAACTGAACTTTCTTTAAAGTTACACACAATGAAAAAAAAAGAAAGAAAGCAAAATAATTTTATATTATATATATTGTTTTTATTCCTACCCATCAGATTTCCTCCAATGGAGCACACAGAGCTCTGATTCTCCCCACTCAAAGTCATTAATGGGGAAAAAAAAAGTGAATAGGAAATAATTACATTGGAGGGCTGGGGATTCGTTTGATTTTCTTTTTTAAAAATTTTTTGTGCAAGTCCCTTCTGCCGGTTAACTCTTGTACTTGAGAAGGGAAGGACACAAAACTAAATACAGTTCCACGTTTTCATCTCAGAACTTAATTACACTGGATCCCCTGCGCTTAAATTAAGCTGCAAATACACAGGAGCGCTTGATCTTAAACTCCACTTCCTGCACTAAAGTTCCGTCAACGAGTGTTTGCACAGCAGTCCTCTTCTAGTGGATCCACTAAGGTCCGTTATCATCACCCGGCACTGGAAGTTAAAGCAATAACTTTTTTTGCCCTTGTATGTGTGTGCCCGGTTTGTCTGTTAGCAAAATATTTCATATTGCACAGGACAGACTTTAATGAAACTTTCAGGAAATATTCAATAGTATGTCTTCAAACAAAAGTGACTAAATTCTTCAATTTTACAGATATTAAGCTAAAATTTGACGTAGTAGTCGCTGACAGTCATACACTAAACATACTTTGAGCAATACATTTTCTAATAGCACACAAGACTGCGCATAACGTTATTTTTAATGTTTGTTCAAAATACCTAAAATTACATAAGATGTTCAGTCTAAAATTGGCATAAAAGATGGCTAGTGATATGTATTACCTTGAAGAATGCCAGGTCTTTATTTACCCTTTTTTCTAGGGATGCACGATATTATCGGCATGGTATCGTCCGATATTGGCGATAAAGTTAAATATCGGCCATTCCATCAAAATAACTCACCGATATAAAAGGTGCTATTTTTGTATAACAACACAGTGACAAGGATGCCTGTAGCCCCAGCATGTTATGACATCACACGCACTATTGAGTCTAGATTTCTGAAAATTTACAAATTTGCACTGTTCGAGTGTTGTCATTGTGTTAGAGAGAGTAAATGTCATGAATAAATTTGACATTAAACATAATCCAAGTTGAAAGTGTTGCATCATTTTCAGCCCCTTTTTGTAGTATTTTAATTCCACAGCAGAGAAATCTATGTAGTCACTGTAGGTCTAGGGGGAAAAATATCGGTATTGGCCAAATACGTTTTAACATATCGGCATATCGGATATCGGCCAAAAATCCAATATCATGCATCCCTACTTTTTTCAGGTGTTACCAACACAGGCAAATGCTCAGATGGTGTAATTGCCAAATAAAAATGTCCATATCAACCAAAAAAGAAAGCTGTATTTTTTTCGTTAGCATTCAATTTATTTATTTGAGAAAACAATTCACTTTATATCAAATTTTTGGTTTGTCTGAAATATAAACCTTTCAATACCGTGATCACGTGACCATTTTTCCTTTTGTATTGGTGAAAGCTTCAAAAAAGCTTTTAGTCAGAAAATGTTTTCTGCTCATCGGGGAAAAAAAGGAGAAAAGCCAAAACAGTGTGTTCTTTAGCTGTGTGCTCTAAATGGATTGTCCTTTTATCTGTAATATATCAATGATATTCTGTGTTATCAGCAAGGAAGTCATTAAAAGAGCCCAGCATGTGAAAAAAAAAAAAAAAAAAGAGTAAAGTCTTCTTCCAAGCTAGGCTAATGGCTAGGCTAACAAGTTTTAAAATGTTTTTTTTTCACATTTATAAAACAACTCTTTCTATTTCTATTATACTCTTTCTCTATTAGTTAATATTCTTTAAACTTTGGAGCTAGTTTGGCTAAATATTAGCAAAATTAACATTCAATGGGCTAGCCGTTAGCCTAGCCTGGACAAATACTTTTCCTGCTTTTGCCAAACTTCGTCTTCTATGAATAGTTGTGGCTGATAAGCTTCGGAGTACTGCAAACATTAACAACATCAAAGTTGACTGGACAGTCCCTTTAAGGTAAAAAAAAGAAAGTACAGTAGTCCCTCGTTTATTGCGGCGGATCCGTACCCTGAAGCCCCGCGATAAGTGAAAAACTGCTAAGTAGGAATAGTAGTATATGTAGTAAGTAGTATTTATTTTACTATTTATATATACAGTATATACATATTAAACCCTTCCTACACTCTTGCAATATTCTAAACAATGTTTCTAAACTCTAAACACTATAAAAGAGCACAGAATGTCATGATTTCAGCTCTCTGCCTCCGGCTGCTCTTTTGGCCACGCCCACTTCTCTGCATAGAGATCAGCTGATCAGTTGCAGGAGGAAGCTTCTCCCACAGCTGTGGGCTGCACACAGGTGCTAAATCATTTAAAATAAGTTATTTAAAAAAAAATAATAAATCCATGTCAATTGTGCGGCTCATCCATCAATCAGCCATTGTGTGTCATGTCCAATCTTACTTTGAAAAACCACGACTGAGCGAGTCCGCGAAATACGAACCGCGACGTAGCGAGGGACTACTGTATAATTTTAGACTTTATGGATTCTAGAGTTTTAAAATTTTAGGTTTGAGGCTAAGAAGTTGTCAATTTTTAAAGCCTTTATGACACATTTCAGGCCTCCCTGCTGCCGGGAGTGGCTGATGTGTCGCAGGAGCCCATGATCTTATCATTGGGTGCTCGATTTCACCTCCTCAGCATCCTCATCAAGGATTCAGTCAATAGTGACACAGGGTCACGGGGGGGAGACAGTCGAAGGAAATGGTAGATGACAAGGCCAGCTTTTATAAGTTCAAGGCCGATCTCAAAGTCAAAGACGCTAATTGTGAAGTTCTTCAAAATGATCATGCAAATATTGGTGCTTTAACGCCAGGGAAAATTCTGTTTTAGTTTGACAGCCGAAGAAGACCAAATGGCTTTCTGCTTTATTTTATTTTTATTGTTTTGCTTTTGACAGTGATTGTATTTCAAGACAATAAATATTATGTCAGAATGGCAGCAGGGGACAGCTGTAAAAGCACACCCATCAGTATCGGCAGCTGCCGTCCAAATCTCTGTGGTGGAAGCAGCTAAACAAAGAGGAGAAAAGACCTGCATCTGTTCCTAACAGGGTTGGTTCATCACAGTCATGTTTCAGTGTGATTTCAAGCAGCCTTGTTGTGTTCACACTATTGTGATCCTGTTTATATTTCTTATAGCTACTATCCCTATTCCATACGTTTTTCAGCATCTAACCCGTCCTGCAGTTTTCAAGCTATATGTACTGTATTTCAACAAATCATATATCAAAACGTTCAGCTCGTTCAGGAGAAGGGTGCACCAGCACTTTTGGTATTGGTGAAACTTTAGCTCTTTGAAATATTTAGTCTTTTCTGCTATTTTTTTCTCATAGGAAATTAATTGAGCTCATGTTACATCCTTCAAACCTTTAGATGTGTTTACAACCTTTTACTGCTCCTTTCACATTTTGTTCTGCTTCAGCTTCTTTGTGTAAATTTAACTTTTTTCAGCTAGTTTCAGCTGTTTTGCACTCTTTTCAGATTATTTCTGCTAACTACAACATTTTTGTGCTTCTTCTAATTTATTTCGGTTAATTGCAGCTTGTTATGCTCCTTTCAGCTTATTTCTGAATGTTTCAGCTTGTTCTGCTATTTCAATTACTATTTAGCTGCTTTAATGCTAATTTTAGCCTTTTCAGCTAATTCCACATTTTTTGCACCCATTTCAAGTTTTTTTCAGCCTAATTCAGCAAAAATATGCTCTCTCCCCTTCCTTCATGTAATTTAAGCTTCTTTCTGCCTTTTCAGCTGCTTTTCAGCTATTCTTGGCTAATTTCAGCTTTTATCAGATAATTTCCCCTTTTTGTGCTAATTTCTGTTTCTTTCAGCCTAACTGGGCAAACATGTGTTCTTTCTGCTTTCCTTCTGCTAATTTAAGCTTGTTCTACCTTTTTCAGCTACCTTTTTAGCTAATTTTTGGTTTTCAGATAAATTCAAATTTTCATGGTAATCTCTGCCACTTTCAGCCTAATTACCTTATTTCTGCTCATTCCAGCGTATTTCTGCTAATTTCATATATTTCAGGTACTACTTAGTTGTTTTTATGCAAATTTTAGCCTTTTCAGCTAATTCCACTTTTTTTTTTTTGCACTCTCTTCCATTTCTTTCAGCCTAATTCAGCAGAAATCTTCACTTCCCTCTGGTAAATTTGTAAGCTTCTTTCTGCCTTTTCAGCAACTTTTCAGCTGTTTTTTTCCGAAAGTTAGCTTTTTTATAGCAAATTTCCTAATTTTAGGCCTAATTTCTGCTTATTTAAACCAATTTTAGCAAATATATGTTGTCTGCTTTCTTCTGCTAACTTAGGCTTATTCATCCATTTCAGCTACAGATATAATCATGCTTATATCTAATTTCAGCTGTTTTTCAGCAAGTTCTTCAGCAATAAGCATTCACATTGCATTTTTGCAGGAAATGCAATTTCTGTTCTTGTTTTTAATTGTATAAATTGTTTATGTTTCCAAGCACTACGTCTTTTCATCTTTGTCCCCCCACATAATGGTTTGATTGACGTCTACAACTGGTTAACTTGTGAAGTTCTACCAATTCAAAATAGTCACAGCTAATTAACCTTAGCTAAAGGAAAAATGGTCTATAGCTCAGTCAGTGGTACAGATATTGAACTAAACTCTGGTGTGGTGGTAGATGAGAGTCATCCTCAACAAACAGTCGGAGTGTTAACATCTCACTAGATCGTACTAAATGAAATGGAAGTGTGCGTTGGGACTCATTTGACACCTTCCTGTCAGATTTAATCATCAGGAACACCAACATTTCTGAAAGAAAACAACTCTTTGTCTTCTTTTTAATTCAACATCCGAATCTGAATAAATTACGTCCAGGGAAGGTGTGCATCTGGTGTGGTTACTGTCAAAAGAATTATGGTTCTTTATCAGAGATACTGGAGAGGCCCGCGGGGGGAAGCGGGGACCGTTTAATTACTGATAAGCTAAGGGTCCAGAGCGGGATGGGAAACTGAACACTCAAATGCTTGATTAAGTCTCCCTCTGCTCGTGGCTCCAGGGACAAGAAAACGAGAAAGAAAATAATATTCACTGCGGCTATTTTATGTTTTAATTTGATATTATGCTCTAATGTTTTACTGAGTTGAAACTTAATAAGAGAATTATCAAAATAAATGATTATTTTTGATCATTCTTCACAGTCGTACACTCGAAATGAGAAGTCAAAGAAATATAAATATCTGTACCACTTTACAATAAGGCTCCCCTTATAGATGGCTGATAAATAGTTCATAGATATGTTATCACTTCCTCTATAAACACTTTATAAATCATTAATAATTGTTTATTATGCATTGATGAAATGTGACAGAGACAAAACTGACCAGTTTCTTGCCAAATAGTGAGCCAAATCTGTTCATCTATATATTTCAACTAGAGTTGTTAAATTAAACATTTCACACTGTTACTACCTCGTAAGCACAATAAGTTTATGTAAACCTATTTCTTAAGCATATACTATTGTAATTTATCACTGCATTAGAAGTATCTAAAACTAATATCGTAAAAAATTTGGTTTACAAGTGCTTATTGTATATGTATATATATA